GAGGGCGAGCGCGCCCAGCGGCCAGGGGCGGTGCGGTGCCAGCAGGCCGAGGGGTCGAGCTGAGCCACCACGTGGGACAAGGCAGAGCCACCGGGCACCGCCTGACGCAGGTGGGCACTGGGAGCCGCCGTCTGTGCCGAGGGGGAGGCCGCAGGCACCCTGTCTCCCCCCAGTTCTGCCCATGACTGCAGAAAGGACACTTCGGTTCACATAAACAAATAAATCTTGAGAAATAGGACCTGTCATCGCCAGCTCGACACCATTAGTCACGACTCCCTCGAGGCTCGGAGCCGTGGGCCTGGGTGTCCCCTCGCCCTCCCCAGCCCCTGGGCGTCCTGGGCCAGTCCCCAGCCGTGGGCCCTGGCTGCAAGCCTGACCCCCTCTGGCTCTGGGAAGTGACCAGCACCTCCCCCAAGTGGCAGCAGGCCCAGAGTGGACGGCAGGCCCACAGGGCCCCGTTTCCAGTCATCAGTCTCCCACTGTGCCCACGCCCTGCGCCTCCCGCCTGTCCTCAGGGTCTCCGGCGGAAGCCACCCTCGCTTTGCAGTGCTCAGCTAGCGTCCAGCCGGCCAGGAACGTGCCCAGAGCAGCCATGCTCTTCCAGAACGTCATGGCGCTCTGCTGCGTCAGGGCAGGTGTGGGGTGGCCGCCCGCCCGCCTCAGAACCGCCTCACGCGGGAGCAGAGACGCCCAGGCACAGGACGGCCGGTCTCCCAGTGGGTCAGGGTCATCGCCCAGGAGAGCGCTGGTGCTTCCAGGGAGGGTCCAGCCCCAGAGGCCCCCCGCGCCCGCTGGTCGCTCCAGGCGGAGCCTGTGCCTGGGGGGGCAGCTCGCTTTGAGGCCTCTGAGGGCGTTTCTTGACCCTGCGAGAAAGGCTTTCAAGCTTCCAGCTTTAACAGACGCGCACAGCAGACGTCACCCCATCGCCCCCCAGCCCGCCACCCGGGACCCCGCCTCTCCCCACCCCAGGCCTCTGTCCTGCGCCAGCCCGGCCCTGGCGCCGCTGTCCCCTGGGCTCTGAGCCTCACGCCACCCCACCCCTCCGCCCCTGACCGAGCGCAAAGCCGTGTGGTGACCCCGGGGCGCGAGGGTCTTCCATGGCTCAGATTCCTTCGGCCACTGGCGGCGCCTGCGTCTTCGTGTGCTCCTCGCCCGAGCCCCGCCGATGAGTGACGCTCCCACTTGTTGGTTCATTTTGATAAACTGCGTTGTTTGTCTTCTCTTGCTCTTTCTTCTTATACGCTGCAGATGCCCTCCAGTGCCGGTGATGTGGCAAGTGAGTCCTTCCCCCAGCCTACGGCTCGTCTCTCCATTTCCTTAATGGCATCTTGCAAAGAGCAGAAAATCTTCATTTTTTTTTTTAATAATATAATAGTTTATTTTTACATCATTTTGGGCATTTTTCCATCTCAGTTGTCATCCCCATAGGCTTCCCATCACCAAATCACCCATCACCATAGTCCAGTGCACTCCCCTCCCCACACCCCCGCTGTTTCTGATCCCATTCCCCACTCCACCCCCACAAAATGTCTCTGGTATATAGCTATTCATTATTATTATTATTATTTTCTTACCTGGTCGTTATATTCCTGCTATAAGAGAAACCATCCGGTGTTTTTCCTTTACTTTCTGCCTTGTTTCCCATCCAAGTTGCTGCAAAAGACATGTGTTTCTGTTTTTTGGTTGCTGAGTAATATTCCATGGTGTATATGTACCACATCTTTTTTCTCCAGTCATCTACTTTTGGGCATTTGGGCTGCTTCCATGTTTTTCCAATTGTAAATAAAGCAGCAATAAACATGGGGGTGCAGGTATCTTTTTCAATCAGTGTTTTTGTGTCTTTTGGGTAGATCCTAGGAGTGGGATTGCTGGGTCGTAGGGAAGCTCCATGTTTAGCAGTTTGAGGAACCTCCAAACAGTTTTCCATAGTGGTTGTACTAGTTTGCATTCCCACCAGCAGTGCAGGAGAGTTCTTTTTTCTCCAGATCCTCGCCAACATTTGTTGTTGCTAGTTGTTTGAAGATGTGCCATTCTCACTGGGCTGAGGTGGTATCTCACTGTGGTTTTAATTTGCATCTCCCTTATTATGAGTGATGTTGAACATTTTTTCATATGCTTGTTGGCCATCTGCATTTCCTCTTTGGAGAAGTGTCTTTTTAGCACTTCTGCCAGTTTTTTGATGGGGTTGTTTATTTTTGTTGAGTTTCATTATTTCTTTATATATCTTTGTGATCAATCCTTTATCACTAGTTTTGTGTGAGAAAATTTTTTCCCAATCAGTGGGATATCTGTTTGTTTTTTGTAATGTCTCTTTTGCTCTTTATGTTGATGTAGTCCCATCTATTTATCTTTGCCCTCACTATCGTTGCATTGGGTGCTGTATCTTCAAAGATGTCACTGAAGTATATGTTGTGTCGTGTATGGCCCATCTTTGCTTCAAGGTATTTTATGGTTACTGTTCTTATGTCTAGATCTTTAATCCATTTTGAGTTGATTTTTGTGTATGGTGTGAGGTAGTGATCTAGTTTCATTTTTTTGCATATAGCTTCCCAGTTTTCCCAACACCATTTGCTGAACAAACTTTCTTTGTTCCATTGTATCTTCTTTGCTCCTTTGTCAAAGATTAGCTGTCCATAAACCTGTGGGTTTATATCTGGGTTTTCTATCTATCTGAATCCACTGGTCTGTATGTCTGTTCTTGTTCCAATACCATGCAGTTTTGATTATTATGGCTTTGTAATATAGCTTGAAGTTTGGGATTGTATTCACTTCTTTTTTTTTAAGTTTATTTCTGCATACAGAGCTGGAGTACAGGCCAGAGGTGCAGGGGGTGAGAGGCTTCACCAGAGACAGAGTGGGGAGCAGAACAGGCAGATCCACTGAAAACCACTGCTGAAAGAGCTGAAGGGACACAGGAGGGGTCTGCTGCGCCATATGGGTCACTCTGTGGTGGGGATCGAGCTTGTGCTGCAGGGTTGTGGCCAGCTCCCTAGGCTGTGCTCCAACCCGGTGTGTCACCACAGAGGGTTTGAAAATTTTAATTTCAATGGAACCCAACTTAGCACTTCATTTTTCCTCTTATGGCCAGTGTTTTTGGTGTGTCTCGTCTAGTAAATCCTGGCTTCCTCACAATTAATGAAAATATTCTGTATTCTAGAAGTTTGGAGGCTCAAGGATTTAGATAAGTCTTGGTCTTAAGTTTGGTATTTTCAGGATGTGCTGAGGTTTTCCCAAGTGACTGCAGTGTCAAGTGTTGGGGGGTTCTGACCCCCGAGTAGCCCCAGGTGCCTCACACATACGTGCACCAGCACACGTGCTTCCCACACGTGCGTCAGCGAGCACAGTGGTGCGTGCATGTAGACCCTGGCTGACGCACCAGTGACAACGCGCCTCACACACTCGGGCACACGCTCGGGCATGTCTCGGCTGTAGCAGAAGGATGGGTGCCGATGTCCGAGGCTCCTGAGGCCTGGACAGCTGTGGTGGAGACAGCGACATGAACTGGACAGTGGAGCGTGAGATGTAAATCAGGGTGGTGATAGCTGGTCTCTGAGACAAGGATAGGGAACTAATTTGCTATTTTGAAAACTAGGGCATGAAAAAGACAGAGCAAGCGTTTCACCCTGTCTCTCCCGTACGAACTCAGCTCTGGTAACCAGGTTGCAGCGAGGAGGATCTTGCCTGGAGCTGTGCACAGTCACTGGTGGCAGCACCTGGTGATGTGGGCCGGCACCCGGGATGGGAACAGCTGCTCACCTGCAAAAAGGCCATCAGTCACCCTGTGCTTCCTGCTGGAGACCCACAAGCACCACCTGTGAAGGTGAAACTGGGCAAAAAGCAAACCCCGTCCGCTTCCCGCCAGAAGCCAAGCAGGTTTTCTGCGGAGGCCGAGTGGACACTCAGGCGCCTCGGTCAGTCATCGAAGGTCCACGTGGGCGAGGGGCCTCGGGACAGGCCCCGGCGGCCGGGCTGCTTGGCTGTGCGCTAGGGCTACTGCAGATTTCTAGGAAATTCAGGAAACAGAAATGTCGCCATCCGCCAAATCCAGGCTGTGGGAAAATGTAGGAGAAAAGATTCCAGTTTCTTCAACAAAGAAATTGCAGGACAGAGGCCCATAAACCAAAGACTGAAAAATAAACCCTCCCGATCTGTGGATCTCACCACATACACAGATTGTTGAAATGATCGGGGACGGTCACGAGACAACTGAAAATTCTCATAATGCCTTCGGTGTGTTTGCTGGAGGCGGGCGGGTTGCTAGTTTTTAGCAGGAAGTGGCGTTCCGGCCACACTGGAGAAGTGTGTAGCTCCAAGTCTTGTCTTCACATGAGGACCCTGGGCCTGCCTGGCCCACCACGGCTGCCCTGCCGGGACCAGCCCTGGCGGCCGGCGCGCGGCCTCTGCCGGTGGCGTCCGGGCGAGGTAAACGAGAGACCACCGTGAGCAGGCCGCCCCCCTTTCCCTCGCCCACCACCACGTCCGCGGGGGAGCACCCCCAACTCTGGCCCGGCCCTTTTCCTCCTCCTCCGGCTCCTGCCTCCTGTTCCTTCCGTCTCCTTTGGAGGTCCTGCCCGGGCCCCCTCCGAGGCCCGTCCCGCCCTCCGTCCCGCCCTCCGCTGAAGATCTCCGCGCTCACCTCGCCTGCCCCAGCCAGTCTCACCCGATGACCTGTGGCCCACTTGCTGGCCTCCTCCGCTGGCCTCTCATCTCCCACTCCTTGTCATACTGGGGCGCCCTGAGGACAGTGGCCAGCGGGACCCCCAGCCTGCAGGCCTGGTGCTGCGGAGAGGCCGGCACAGCCCCTCACCTGCGCCGCCCCGCTCTGCGGGAGGCCCTGAGAGGGGAGCCCCAGGGCGAGGGTGGGAGCCGGGCAGAGCGTCTCCCCTGGGGCAAGGGGAGCCTCCGCCGCGTGGAGTCGAGCGGGGAGGCCCTGCGGTGCGAGAGGCGTGTGGCGGCCGCTCCTGCGGCTCCGGCGGGCGGGACGGACGCGACGCCCGCCGTCTCCGTGCGTTTCGTGTCTGCGGTCATTTTCCGGCTGCGGCGGGTCAGCGGGCAGGCGATTTACATAGCCCTCCGCACTTTATGGCTGCTGCTGGCTTTCTGAAGCTCTAAACGACTGTTATAAATCTCTCCTCCCCCTTTTAAAGTGTCTTTTTAAAGTTGCTGCCTGACTACAGTACCCCAGAATAGGGCTGCAGAAGCCGAAGGCGTCCACGTTGACGGCTGCAAAGGCAGCGTGCGCCGGCCCCGTGGCTCTCCCGCCGCCCCTGTCCCCCACGGCCACAGCCCCCCACGGCCGCCTTGTGCGCCCCAGGGGCTGGCCCTGTCCGGCTCCCGCTAGCGGTCAGCTCTCGCCCCGACCGCGCCTGGCTTTTCCTTTCCCCTCGTCCTGGTGAGTGAAGCGGCGGAGCCCGCGCGGCTCCTGCCTGTGTCTTCCCCTTTGGGTGCCGGCCGTCCACTGTGGCTGTCGGGGACGTGCCGGCGCATTTCCTGGCTTGCCGCATTGTCCCGGGGTCTGCGCCAGCGGCCCTGCGGCCCGGCGTGTGGGTGCCGTGTGACGTGGCCCCGGCGCGTCTCCTGTGCGCCCCGCCCCGTGGAGGGCGCCGCGCTCTGGGCGTGTGCGGCGTCTTCTCCGCAGCAGGGCTGGGGCGTGGCCCCCTGCACAAGCCCAACGGGTGCCCCGCTGCGCCCACTAACCGGGCACGCTGTGTGTGGCCCGGCCGCCAGCCCCGGCCTGCCTCGCAAGGGCCATGTCGCACCACGGACGGACTTGTGTCATTTGCTCTCCAGTGTGAAGTCTCAAGAAGTCAGCGTGGGCTCACCCACCGCCACTGCCAGCAGCAGCTACCCCGTGAGAGTATTTTCAACACAGGCTTTGTGTGAAGGACTCGGAGCCACCATTGATTTCACCTTCTGGAAAATCCTGGGTGTTGCTGCCACAGTTGTTGTTGTTGTTGTTTTTAAAGATTTATTTATTTATCCATACAGAACTGGGGTACAGGCCAGACATGCAAGGGTGGTGAGAGGACTCACCAGAGACAGAGCGGGGAGCAGGACAGGCCGACTGACGAAGCCCACTGCTGAGGGGGGCAGCGGGCGGGTCAGGAGAGGTCTGCCGCGCCCTGGGGTCACCTCCGGGCAGGCGGGGATCGAGCTCATGCGGAAGCGGCTTTGCTTCTCAGTGCTGCGCTCTGACCCACTGCGCCCCCAGGGACGGCCCTGCTGCTGCAGTTTTAAAGACCAAGAACTGGAGATGAGGAAGGGTAACTAACGAGCACAAGTTTACAAGCAAATCAAGACTGTGGAGACTGGACTCCAACCAGCTGTCTCAACAGCTGTCCTGAGCTGCCCACTCCCCAGATGACAGTGAGTCCAGGAGGGGCAGACCCGAGGGGAACTGCCAGCAGATATGCTAAGCCCAGCACACAGGAAGGACAAGGTGTGCATGGGGATAAGGAGGAGCTTGAGGGCCAGCGATATTTGAGGTCTTGGGAGTAGAACAGTGGTGCCAGGCCCAGGAGCTAGGGACGGAGACCTGGTGGTACAGATCGCGCAGGTGAGAGCTTCCAGAGATGCCGCTCTGGAGGTCGACCAGCTGGCTGCCCTGGGCTTCAGGTGGAGGCTCCAGAAGTTGACCAGAAGGCTGGAAATGGACTCAGGCAGAAGGATGCCAAGGCCAAAGAGCAGGCCAAAGAAGGCTCAGCCTGAGGCTGCTGAGGTCGACCAGCTAACTGGCCCTGGGCTTTTTGCTGGATGCTCTAAAGGTTGACCAGCAGGTGTGCCCAAGGCTCAGCCCCGAAGCTGCTGACTGACCAGCTACTCAACCCCGAGAGCAGCGTGCACACATGCTGGGTTAATGAGCTGATGAGACTCACCCTGCAGATTGCTGAGGCTGACGGGGCAGGCAGGGTTCAGCCCGAAAAGGACCAGTAAGCTGGAACGGGCCAAAAATGGAGGCTGCTGTGCTCGGCCAGCATGCCGACCCGGCCTCAGGCTGCAGGATGCAGAAGCTGATAGCAGACTACCGCCAGGCTCTGCCTAGGGGCTGCTGAGGTCAACCTGGTCCAGCCTGAAAGGTGTCAAGGTCAACCAGAAGGATGGCCAGAGGATAAACTCCTCCTATCCCCATGCACCCTTATCCTTCCTGTGTGCTGGGCTTAGCATGTCTGCTGGCAGTTCCCTCAGCTCTTCCCCTCCTGGGTTCACTGTCACATGGGGAGTGATGACACACAGGAATGGTGTGGACCTGCCAAGGCTAACGAGCAGTGGACACTGGAGTCACTGTAGAGGCTGCTGAGGTTGACCAGAGGCTGGCCCCATGACCGGCTTGTAGGTTCCTGAGATTGACCAGATGGCCGCCTGCCCTGAGGTTCAACCTGGAGATGGCCAGGATCTACCGGGAGCCATCCCAGGGATTAGATTGGAGACTCCCCTGTTAGACCACAGGCTGACCCTGGGCTCATCCCGGAGGCTGCTGAGGGCAGCCTGCTGACCAGCCCAGGGTTCAACCTGGAGGCTTCTGTGGTTAACCAGTAGGCTGTCCCATGGCCTAGCCTGGAGGCTGGTGAGGTCAACCAGCTGGCCAGCCTGCAAGCTGTCAAGATCAACCAGCAGCTGGCCCTGGGGTCAGTGTGGAAGATGTCATGGTTGACCACCAGGCAGACACTGGTTCAGCCTGGAGACTGCCCATATCGACCACTTGCAGACCCTGGGCTCAGCATGAAGATTGCTGAGGTTGACCAGTCGGCCAGCCTACAGTTTGACTTGGATACTGCCTAGGTTGACCAGCAGTCCAGCCCCTGGCTCAGCCTGGAGACTGCACACGTCTCACCCTGGGGGGTGGGGGGGTGGCTGTTGACCAGTAGGCCTCTATGCTTCCCAACCCTGTGACTAGGGTAACCCTGACCCTGGGCCAGCCTGCAGTTCACTTTAGAACCTCTAGCTGAGCTAGGGTAGAATCCACCTGCAGCACCACATTGCGGTCTGAAACCAGGTCCGTTTGAGTGGGGCTTTTGTCTTCATGCACCGCTAGTTGGAGTCCATGTTGACCGGTTGTTCAAATTGGAGCCTGCAGGCTAGGCGGGGTTTCCCTAGATTGGCTTCAGCTGGAACCTCGTGTGGAGGCTGCCGAGGTTGCTCAGCTGCCCAGCCCTGGGCTTTGGCTTGCTCCAGAGGTCGACCAGCTGGTCGGCTCCAGGTTCTGCCCAGAATTAGCTGCCAGCCTGATACAGTCCTGACTTGGACTCAGCCTGGTGGCTCCTGTGATCGAAAAGATGACTGAAGCCAGTGAGCCTTGACTGTGCCAGCCCTACCCAGACCCATGCCCGTGCTCTGGCCTGGAGGCTCCAGTTCGAACCTCTTGGAACCTGAGTTCAGGCTGGACGTGGATGAGCACAAAGCCCACACCTGTCTTCTGTCTCACATTCCCTGGCTTCCTGGAGATTTTCCTTCTCTTTGGCCTTGTACCATTGTCTCCGTCCTCCCTCCCCCCGGGTTGTTATGAAGTCGAGGGGTTGACACAGGACAGCTCAGCACCCTGCTGGTTGGAATTTATGATGCGAAGATGAAAGAAAAGGAGCATCTATAAGCTGGCAAATTTGATTTTCCGCTCACACAGCGTCCTCCCACCTCACTCCCTGCTGCTCTTCCCCGCCTAGGCCCGCCACCCTAGCTGCTGGCCAGTGCAGCTTCACCCTGCACTCCTGAGAGGACAGCAGCGGCCTCCTTTGCCCTCGCCTGCCCCAGCTCCTGCAGGCCTCCGCCCGCCTTCCCCGGAGCTGCGTGAGGGCCTGCTGGCCTCGCCCCCACCCCCTGCTCTGCCAGGGCACCCCAGGAGCCCCATCTTGGTAGGGCGGCCCCGGCCCACTTCCTCCTTGCTGTCACTCCTGCCTCCGTCCACCTGGCCTCCTGCTTCTCGGCAGTCCCTGCCGCCCTCCCTCCAAGCTGTGGGTCTCGTCTCTGCTCAGGGGCTCGGGCGGCCAAGTCGTG